CAAAGATGATCCCACAGAAAGTGGAAATTATTGAACACATATAATATCACATGCAAGTAAAATTTAGCTGAAGATAATTCAAAAATGGTTACAGCAGCATCTTGACACAGAACTTCCAGAAATGCAAGCTGGATTCAGAAGAGGATGTGGAATGAGGGATATCATTGGTGAAGTCAGAAGGATCTTGTCTCAAAGAAAAGAGTACCAGAAAGATGTTTACTTGTTTTTTATTGGCTATGCCAAGGGATTCGACTGTGTGAAACATAACAAATTATGGATAGCATTAAGAAGAATGGGGATTCCAGAACACTTAACTGTGCTCATGAGGAACCTGTACATAGACCAGGAGGCTGGCCTTCAGACAGAACAAGGGGATACTGTATGGTTTAAAATCAGGAAGGGAGTGTGTCAGGGTTGTATCTCTTCAACATACTGTTTCAATATGTATGCTGAGCACATAATCGGAGAAGCTGGACTATATGAAGAAGAACACAGCGTTATGATAGGAGGAAGAGTCATTAACAACCTACAATATGCAGATGACACAACCTTGCTTGCTGAAGGTAAACATGACTTGAAGCACTTACTGATGAAGATTAAAGACTAGTCTACAGTATGGATAACAACTCAAGATAAAGAAAATGAAAATCTTCACAACTGGAACCATAAGTAGTATCATGATAAATGGAGAGAAGATTGAAGTTGTCAAATATTTCATGTTACTTGGCTCCATAATCAACAACAATGGAATAAGCACTGAAGAAATCAAACAATGTATTGCATTGGGAAACCTGCTCAAAAGACCTCTTTAAAGTGCTGAAGAGCAAAGGTGTTTCTTGGAAGACAAACATACGTCTCACCGAAGCCATGGTGTTTTCAATCGCCTCATATGCATGCAAAAGCTGGACAATGGAAAAGGAAGACAGAAGAAGAGTTGATGCTTTTGAGTTGTGTTCTTGGCAAAGAGTACTGAAAGTATCAAGTACTGCCAGAAGAATGAACAAATCCATCCTGGAAGAAGTGCAGCCGGAATATTCCTCGGAAGTGAGAATGGCCAGGCTTTGTCTCACCTTCTTTGGTTGTATTGTCGGAGGGACTTATGGTAGTTAAGTTTGTTTGTCAAATTGGCTGAGTCTCGTTGAGTGACTGGGCAACTGGATATAGTTATTCCCCATGGTGAGAATGGTAATTAACTCAATGATGCAATCTATTGGAGCAGCTGACTAGCTGCTTTAGGGATGGGGTCTTCAGGTAACAATTATAACAAAAGATTCCTACTACCTGGATAGCAGGAAATACACCATGTTTGTGGAGCCCATAATTTCAGTGGAGTCTTGATTCCACCACCTTCCCGGTGAAAGAAGAAATATCAATGTTTGTAAGTCACTCTGATTTTCAGTGTTGTTCTGGGAGTCATTCCCAATACTTGAAAGACATACCACCTGTCCATCAACAATTTAGTAAGTACACGCTTACAAATTTTCTAGTTCAAAATACTTAACAAGACTTCCATTGAAATAAAATAACAGAAAGAGTTCAAATATCTCATACCAGAAGTGATTACAAGAAACAGACTTTCCAAAATAGGAATCTGGAGCTTGATATCTCGACTTGTTGGGGTTGAGGTCAATAATGATGCTATTCCCTTGGGATAGATGTATGATGATACTCCATGGCCAAGAGTAGAAGTTCTGTTTCATAGTGAATCATATGCAGTCACCTTGAAGGGATTTCCTGTTGAAGGGAAGATTTTCATTTAAAAAAAGTTTCTGAAAGAAATATAGAAGTAAGAATTGCTTATCTCGTATTATGAAGGAGATTGAATTCTGGTAAAAATGCACATTTATGAAATGATGAAATAATCTTGATTTAGTTTTTCATAATTTTGAGTTCTGTTGCTCATGACAGTTCTCTTATCTTGAAAAAAAAATGATTCTGTTATATAGAGAATATTTGTCAGTGGAAAAGTTTTCTTAGGGCCTGCTTTATGTCTTTGTTTCTAAGACTGTAGATAAAGGGGTTCAGCATGGGAGTGACCACAGTGTACATCACTGAGGCTACTGCACTTTTCCTGGAGTTTTGGGTAGAAGCAGAACTCAGATAAACTCCAAGCCCTGTACCATAGAACAAGGCAACTACTGAAAGATGAGACCCACAAGTGGAAAAGGCTTTATATTTGCCCTTTCTTGATGGAATTCTTGCAATGGAGGACACAATCTTAGTGTATGAGTAAAGTATCCCAGTGAGTGGAATAACACCCAGAAATCCACTTGAAATATATATCAATAAGTCATTGAGGAAAGTATCAGAACAAGCAAGTTGGATGACCTGATTAAGTTCACAGAAAAAATGGGGTATTTCCAAATCTGTACAAAAGGACAGTCGCAAAACCATTAAACCATGTAATAAAGAGTCCAGAACACTGAGTAACCAGCTTGTCAGAAGCAGGAGGCCACAGAACTTGGGGTTCATGATGATCTTGTAGTGCAGGGGGTGACAGATGGCCAGAAACCGATCATAGGCCATCACTGTTAAGAGAAAGCTGTCTAAATCTCCAAAAAGCATGGAAAAATACATCTGAGTGATGCATTCTTCATAGGTAATAACTTTATTCTGCACCTGGATGTTCAGCAGCATCTTTGGGACAATGGTGGAGGTGAAACAGATGTCTGTGAAAGAGAGGTTGGAGAGGAAGAAATACATGGGTGTGTGGAGGAGGGAGTCCATGAAGATGACCAAGATGATGAGCAGGTTCCCAGTGAAGGTGATCAGGTCCATGGGCAGGAACAGCCCAAAGAGGAGGGACTGCAACTCTGTCTCGTCTGAGAGCCCCAAAAGGATGAATTCTGAAACATATGTTTGGTTTCCTGGTGACATGGAGCTGGTGAAAACTATTAGAAAACAGAAAAGATCAGCAGAGTTAGTTATAAGAGATAGGGTGATTTTATATTTTAAATGTGTTTAATTAAATACTTTTTATATATTATCTATGAATCTAGTGTTTATTAGCTGAGATTTCATGGACTCCCCAAAGCTCTATCTCCTCCCTGATTCTGAAACTGACTAGACTTGCTTGCCGCTAATGGCTAACATGGTGTTGTTAGCCATCAAGTTGATGCTGCCTCCTAGTGACCCTGAGAACAACAGGATGAAAACCTGCCCTGTCCTGCACCAGCCTCACAATCCTTGCTGTGCTGAAGTCCATCACTGCAGCCACTGTGTCAATTGACCCCATTTAGGATATTCCCTTTTGGTTTCTCTGACCCTTTACTTTGTCAAACATGACATCCTTCTCCAGGGAATGGTCCCTCTGACCACATGATGCAAGCAGATGAGAAAATCTGGCCATTGTCACTTCCAAGGAGCATTCCAGCTGCACTTCTTCCAGTACAGATTTGTCTGTAGTTCTGGCCGTCCATGGCATTATCAGTATTCTTTGCCAACACCACAATTCAAAGGCATCACTTCTTCCTTAGTCTTCCTTACTCATTGTCCAGCTTCCACATGCACATGAAGTGATTGAAAATATCATGGCTTGGGTTAGGCACACCTGAGTTTTCAAATTGACATCTTTGTTCCTCAATACTTTAAAGACGCGATTCACAGTAGATTTGTCCAGTGCAATATGACATCTGATTAGTTGACAGCTGCCTCCATCAGTGTTGACTGTGGATGCAAATTAAATGTCTTTGAAAACTTCCATCTTTCCTACATTTATAATGATGTTGCTTATTGGTCTAGTTGTGAGGATTTTTTTTTTTTTTTCTTTATATGAATGTGTAACTCATACTGCAGGTTTTAGTCTTTGATCTTCATCAGGAAGTGCTTCAAGTCCCCTTCACTTTCAGCAAGCAAGGTTGTTTTATCTGCATATCTCAGGTTGTTGGTGAGTTTTCCTCCTGTTCTGATGCTATGTTCTTCTTCATAAAGTTCCTCTTCTCAGAATTTTTGCTCAGTGTACAGATTGAATAACTATGGTGAAAGGATACAGCAATGACACACATCCTTTCTTATTTTAAAACATGCAATATCCTCTTGTGCCATCTGAATGACAGCCTTTTGCTGTATGTATAGGTTCCTCAAGAGCACATTTAAGTGTTTTTGAATTTCCATCCTTCACAGTCTTATCCATAATTTCTTATGACTCACACAGTCTAATCCCTTTGCATAGTCAATAAAGCACATGTAAACATCTTTCTGATATTTTTTGTTTTTAGCTAAGATCCGCCTGACATCAGCCATGATATCCCTCCTTCCAAGTCCTCTTTTGAATCCAATTTGCATTTCTGGAAATTTCCTTAGATTGACTCTCTGTGAAAGAGGTGAAGGAGAAACAAAATATCTTCAGTCAAATCAAGGCCAGACCACAGCCAGCTATTCTCAGGGAGAGAGTAGTTGGACCTGTGGCCCTGGGACCACAGTTGCAGGGGACATCAAGCTCAACTGGCATAACATACTACACACAAACATTATTCCACATCCTACTTTGTCAAGTAGTGACTAGGATCTTAAAAGCTTGCAAGCTGCCATCTAGATGCAACGATGGGTCTCTCCTCATCCACAGCAAAGAAGAATGAAGGAAACCAAAGACATATGGAAACAATTAGTCCAAGGGACTGGTATACCATGTGATCTTCAGCCTATGTGAATATGAGAGAAGAAGAACTAGATGGTGCCTGGCTACCACTGTCAACCACTCAGAGGTGGATCTATGGAAGAGATCCTGGATAAAGTGAGAGAACAATGTGGAAGAAAACTCAAAATTTAAAAAAAAAGAAAAAGGGACCAAGTTTGCTGGTCTGATAGAGCCTGTGGAAACCCCTGAGACTATGGCCCCTACCTGCCCTTCAGGTCTGGAATTGAACCCACTCCTGTGGCTTGCAGCCAAACAAATGACAGGCATATGACCTGAGCATTTACATTAGGTAGATACACTCCTTGGAGAGAACAATCATGGGAGAATAGAAGGGTTGTGTATGCACAGGGAGACAGCTCAGGGGCAAGAGTGCATGGCAGGGAATGACACAGGGAAGAGTTAAATGTGGGGAGGAAGTGGGAATATAGCAGTTGCATTGTGGAATATTGTAGTCAGTTTCATGAGACAAAATGTTTATTAACTGTTGTGTGGAAAATGAAATTGCTCTGTAAACTTTCACCCAAATCATAAATAAATAAATAAAACTAAACAAGGTGAGGAGCTGACTGTGAAAGAAACCATGAATTACTCATATGTAAGTTGACACCAAAGAAAATTAAAACAAGTCCATGAGAGCCAAAATACAAACTGAATCATATCTCCTACCTGAATTTAGAAACCATTTGAAAAACAGATTTGACCTATTGAATACTAGTGACTGAAGACCAGACGAGTTGTAGGATGACATCAAGAACATCATACAAGAAGAAAGCAAAAGGTCATTTAAAAGAGAAGAAAGAAAAAAACAAAATAGATGTTAGAAGACACTATGAACCTTGCTTTTCAACAGAGAGTAGCAACAGTGAAAGGAGGAAATGTTGGAAGGGAGCTAAAGAGGAGATTTCAAAGGATGGCTCAAAAAGAAAGTAAAGTATTATGATGAAATGTGCAAAGACCTGGAATTAGAAAACCAAAAGGGAAGAACACACTGAACATTTCTCAAGCTGAAACAACTGAAGAAAAAAATTCATGCCCCAAATTGCAATATTGAAGAATTCTATGGGCAAAATATTGAATGATGCAGGAAGCACCAAAGGAGATGGAAGGAATACAGGTCTCACTGTATGAAAGAGAACTGGTCTACATTCATCCTTTTCAGGAGGTAACATATGATCAAGAAGCAATGGTATTGAAAGAAGTCCAAGCTGCACTAAAGGACTCGGTGAAAAACTAGGTTCCAGGAATTGGTAGAACACCCACTGGGATGTTTCAACAAAGGATGTAGCTCTTGAGTGTTGAATCATCTATGACAGGAAATTTGAAAACAGCTACTTGGCCAAAGGACTAGACAAGATCCACAGTTGTGCCCTTTCCAAAGAAAGGTGATCCAACAGAATGTGGATGTTTTCAAACAATAAGGCAACATATAGCTCTATAAATTCTTCAAGACTTTGTTTTGTTCGTTCGAAGAATACTTTGGGCCAATTATTTTCTGGCAAGTGTTTTGAAGGGACTGGGAACATGAGTAAAAATCATTTTAAAAAATCCTTACCATTAAATTTTATTCTAGGATATGTGTGTTTTGAGGATAGAGATTAATAGATTATGAATAATTCAGTAAACAATATGATTGCCATTATGAAGTAAGATAATGAAGGATAAGTAAGTTATAGAGCTTAAAATAAAGGTTACTTTGTAAGGTCACCTCTGATAGAAGCTTTGAGCAAAATATCTGAAGACAAATAGGATGCTACCCAAGCAGAAAACTGACTATTTTGGGCAGAGATACAGACATTCTATTACTCTAGATTCCCCTACTGTGTGGGGGCTCTGTATTGCATTATATATCATAGCCCTTTGGTGGGGCAAAGGGTTCAGCACTCAATTATTAGCTGAAAGGTTGGTGGTTGGAACCATCTCAGAGGTGCCTCTTTTTTTTTTCCTTGTGATTTGGGTGATGATTTACAGACCAAATTCACTTTCCATACAATAGTTCACATATACTTTGTCTCATGTCATTGACCACAGTTTACCACAATGCAACAGCTCTCCTCCCACTTCGTCCCCATAGTTACCTCTTCCCAGTGTTCATCCCTCCATACACTCCTGTCCCCTGAGCTGTCTTCCTGTGCATAAGCAGCCCTTCTTTCTCCCATGATTATTCTCTCCAAAGAGTGTATCTACTTGAGGTAAATGTTCAACTCATATGCCTGTATTTTGTTTGGCTGGAAGCC